TATCCAAATCTGTATAAACTGTATTTGACATGTAACAAATGAAAGTTGAACTATCCAAATCTGTATAAACTGTATTTGACATGTAACAAATGAAAGTTGAACTATCCAAATCTGTATAAGCTGTATAGGGCAAGTAACAAATGGAAGTTTAACTGTTAAATTCTGTACAGGCTGTATTTGGCAAGTAACAAATGGAAGTTTAACTGTTAAATTCTGTACAGGCTGTATTTGGCAAGTAACAAATGGAAGTTTAACTGTTAAATTCTGCAGAAGCTGAATTTGGCAAGTATGGAAGATATTGTAAATGTCTTTAAACTATGCAACGTTAAGAAAAATAATAAAATTAACTGTGTTCTGTGTTTTAATAAATGTCCATTCAATTATTACCCTTGGATCAGAGGTAGATACAGAACAGAGATGAGCCATCAACATTGGAAGTAGCATTGTGACTAGATGAGAGTTCCCGATACCTGCCAAAACATCCTCCTCTGGAAGGAAAAGAAGTCAACTTAATCGATTAAATCAAAATGCCTTCTTAAAAGATAACAACTAGGTGCTAATTAAGCATTCTCTATGTCAAATAAACTAAAAAAAATTAGAAAGATATAGTTCAATTTTAAAATATAAATATTAAAAGGACATACACGTGAAAAATTTCAACTTTGGTTAGTCTCAGTTTGTAAGGTTTTACCTTTTAAATGCCTTCAAAATTATAGAGATTGTGGAGAATATGGCAGTATAAGTAAGGTCATAAAACCACAGGAGTACTGCTAATGTGATATATTAAAAAACAAGAACTTTGGAATTAACTTTTGATCTTAAATAAATAAAAAACTGTTCATTATGTGTATAATGATTGTCTAATAATTTTATAGGATATATAGATAATTATAAAAAGTAAGCAGTAAAAGAAGAACATCTTTGTCAACCACAATTTTTCTGTAAAAATTATTTCTCCAAAATAATGACATTCTATCTTTGTGCAAATTGAATCATAACATGTTGCTTTTAGGTAACAAAATAAGAATGAAGTTTAATCTAACATTAAACTGTGTTTTATAAACTGATTTTTTTAAACAAAAACACTGTGCATAAAAAGTTACACAAAGCTAAAAAACATTTGATATAAAGTATTAAACCAACAGCTCTGGAAATATAAGTAAAATGAAATAATGTTATTTCATTATAAAAAACAATATAATTAAAAACAATACCTTCTTCTGCTTGGGCTTCTAGCATAAGTTCTGCTGCCGCTTTCATGACAGCTTCACAAATACCTAAAACATTCTTTCGAGCTTGTAGTTCTGCTAGATCATACAGGCTTTGTTGGTTATCCGAGTCTTGAGGTGTGACTTAAAAATGTTAACAGGTTCTCTTTTATTTCTGTCTAAATTGTTGTAATTTCAGTTATTTCTCATTAGAATTTTGTTTAACGTCAATGAAAGATAATCATGAAATTTCTGTGTTTAGTTAATAAAGTCAAGCATTTTAAATAAATATGTTCATATAATTTATCTTACAATGCTCTTTAAGAACTACTTCTACAAAAAAAAAATTGTCATTTTAATTACTCATAATAACATAAGGTAGTCAATAAAAGTTTGTATATGATACAAAATTTTCTATATAGTGTAAGTATATCATCCAATATATGATAATATATATAATAATTTGGTATCCAATAAACCAAAGCACCTGAACCAAGGTTATTTTAAAACAACTATCTACTAGTATCAATAAATAAAAATTTAGAATGACATACTTATCCCATTATTAAATCTATATTCACAAAACATTAAACACAAGATTATACACGTTTTTATTTGTTTTTTATTATACAAGTTATAATCATTAAAAAAAAATTTACATAACCAGGTTTACAGTGGCTATCAGTTTTTTCAATATGATAAATGTTGGCCATTAAATTTGTTTTTACAAAGCAATCTATTAAAACATTTAAATAAAGTATGATTTAGTAACTAAACTGTTTGAGACTAACATTTTAAAAACGTGATTCTAGTTTATTAATTGAACCGACTCATAACTTACATATAATAGAGAATCTGAGGTATCTGACCTCTAGTGTGGTTTGTACCATTAAAACTTAAAGAGCAGTCTGTGAAAGAGAAGATGGTTCCATCTGGGCCCTTAATTTGTGTCAAACCACTGTCCCCATTGTTCGTCCTTGCTCCATGGTTTCGTAATCGTATAGCATACTTGACATTTTCCTGCATTTAAATTTGTGAAATTAAGTAAAAATGACACATCTAACTAGATTTCAATTCCATCAGAAATTGCCTCTAATGTAAGGGAATTGTTAAAATTGCATGTTTCAATCATTACGTGGTTAAATAACACTTACAGAAGCAGAAAATTAATATACCAAAAATAATTTGTTTTAGAATTTCATGAAAAATTACACAAGGGCTATCTGCATATAGCTATCCGTATCTTTTAATTGATATACTAGAGAGAAGGCAGCTAATAAACAACAACCACTGCCATCTCTTGGGTAACATTTGTCTGATCAAATAATGGAATTTGATTGTTACACTTATAGCACACCCATGGTCCTAAAGTACGGATTGCATATTTGCTGCAATAGGTCAGACACTATGAATCCTCACAATTCGGGCAGGTAACCACAAGGCCATACATAAACACCATATAAAAAAGAATATTAGTAAGTCTCTGGATTATAAATGCTCACAGATTTCTTAATTTTCAACAAGATATTTCACTAAATAAACATTCTGTTGAGCTCCACTACTACTTTTTCCACAAATATTGGGTAGGTGCCTGATGGAAACCCAGGACAATTAACTCATAAAATCAATCAAACCATATTTGGAAGTGATCTTAAAACTTAACCTGTAAAGACAAAAAAAATCAATAAAACACAAACAAATATACACTGTAATAAAAATTATATTAGTATTTGAAATTCCAAACAAGTTTTCACAGTCAGAGGTGAGAAAAACCTAGCCAACCACAAGTGTGATCACTAAGGAAAAAACATTTCGGAATTCCTTCTCACACTGATACTTGATAGTTCAAGGGTATCAAAGTGTGATTTTAAAGTAACAAAAATAATAACATATCTTTTATTATTCTTTAAGTAAAAATATTAAATGTCTTTAGTTTTAAACAGGCCTACAAATGAGAGGCAATATCGTTCTTATCATAACTACTGGAGGTACTTGAAGTTTTGAGCAATTAGAAAGTAAGATTTTAGACAGTATTAAAAGATACTTAGTGAAGAGAGAAAGTAAAGCCTCAAGAACTACCACAATAGTGTTGTAGTGTTTTCTTATACACTTACTAGTTATTAATTTGAAGAGGATTTTATAAGGATTTATTTTGCCATAAATTTAAAATAATTTTAATTACTAGAAACCATAACTTACTTTCTGCAATGCATAAAAGTTTTATTGTCCCACTAAGTTTAATATTAATTGTGAAATAGTTTAAATAAAGGCCCTTCACAACAAAGAATACCTAGAGTAAAATATCTTAATTTACCTTAATTGGAACAGGTTTTTCAAATTTCATTTCAGCTACATCTCTATAACAATCTTCAGGACCATACCGTCCACGAACAACTTCAAGTGTCTTCCAACGCTGAATGTGAGAAGGGTCACTATTGCTTGTACTCTGCTGTTTAAATTTACCAAATGAAGAAAATTATAAAGCAGAATGACAGAAAGTTTGTAATGTCTTTACTAACAGACCTAAAAACAAGTAGCTTTCTAGAACATTCAATATGAAAAATAGGGCTTAGAAGTTACCATAACATTTTACTTTTCAAACTCTCTTGTTTTCACAATTTTGCAATTAACCATCTCTATACTCTGTCCAGAATTTTAGATTTTAAGTTGTTTAGGCAAATTTTCTATATGTTTTCTTGGCTCCAATAATCATGTGTATTAATAAACAGGTTCTCCTTATTTGATGTTTTATATGCAACTGTTAAAAGAACAATACGATATATTTTTATTGTCCTAGTTTTTCCCTAGTATTTACATACTGACAAAATTTGTGAAGGAACTTCAAAAGACTATTTGTTTAGTGAAGTACTCTACTGAAATTTTAAATATTGTTAACATATATTTTAATAACAGATAATTAACTCTATTTTATATTTGGTTTTTTGACTTAGCTTTTTTTTTAACAACTCTTAAACCAATTCATGTCAAAGACAGTCCTATAAGACCTAACATATAACCCTAAAAGTACCTAAAACACAGTCAAAAATATTTTTTTTATAAGGATTCACTTATAGCAAGGCAGTCTTACTAAAACCTGAACAGTAGTTAATTGACTGGTTTTAATGTAACAAAATCAGTCACTACAGAACTTTGCTATAATACTGACAATCTAATTATACTATAATAATTATTCAAAAAATGTTCTGAACCGACATTTAAGTTTCTTTTGCAACATTTTAGAAATTCTTCAATCTTAGCCATATCACTTTTAAAAATAGTTTATTAAAATCCCATAGAACAGGCACTTAACACATGCTTCATTGCTTCAAAGGTCATTTTTAATGGCACTTTAATAATTCTAATGGCATTTGTATAATTGTATACTATACTGTAAGACAATAACCAGATGATTCAAATGAACTCATTTTTACCCTAAATGTACAACAAAATCAAACAAATATATCAGCTTTAATTACTAAAACTAATTCTTAATGTTTCTACACTTTTTATACCAAAAATAATACTCAAGAAATACTGCCTTAAATATTACACACTATATTATTAACAACATGAAGAGGAGTTTAACTTATTAGAAAACAAATTAAAATTATATCTGAGAAACAAAAATATCCAGAAATTTGGCAACAATATAAAACTGGAAGTTGTTTGTGAAGAGATGCTGGGGTTTGCTCATCTCAATAAAGGTCAAACAAACATTTTACAAAAGGCTTTCCCACAGTTGCTTTTGAATGACTATGATCAATGTTTTCACCTTGCACCTTAATCAGGAGTACAGAATCTCTGTAATGTTCTTGCTGAAGGCATACAGCGAAATATTGAGCAAATAAAACAGCTTGTAAGATTCTCTGCAGTTAACCGTTTTTTTTTTAATTTGTAATTATATTTACTATGCTCCAGTCAGCATTATGTAAGTCAAAAAATGTAAAGACAAAAATAATAATTTATCTATGAACACAAGAACACTGCAGGCAGTCCACATAAAAGATCCAAACATATAAAAAGTCACCTAGAAATACTAATGATTTTGTCTTCTTCCTGCTTAGGTTTAGAAGAACATTATTTCTATTATTATAAAATTTTGAGTTGATAAGTCTCTTTAGCTAATCAAAAAATATTGTTTCATGAAATCTCTAAGAAAATATCTACTGCACTTGTATGACAGACCAATAAGGAAAGTACTAAAGAATAAATTAATCAACAAACATTTCAACTTACATCATCCAATAACTCAAGCTCATAATTCCATTCACTTCCTACACCACCATAAACTGTCACTCCAGCAATACTGATGCCTGGTCTGTCTACACTGAAGGATATTGCATCAGGAGATCCATTTCCAGTATTCCATGTTCGATTCTGGCTAACCCTAGTAAATCTTGAAGGTGTTGTATGAAGTATTTGTCCAGCCATTCCATGCCAGTCTAACTGTAGGAATTTTACAAGCAGAATGTCTTCAAGATCAGTATTACCTCAAAATATTACTGAAAAAATAATTCCGTACATTATTACTCTTTATCCTGTCTAATGTATTTGAAAAACTGGATTTGTCACTCTTGTTTTACTCACTTGCAGTCTTAAACATATTTATGATAGTACTGTCATAAACTGATTAATTTAAATAATTCCTTGAAACTGATGGATCCATATGGATTTCCAATGGTAATACTAAGGTTTTATACCATTATTGAGTTTATTTAAAAATATTTTTCTGAACTGTTAATTTAGGTACCAAACTGCTTATGGGTCCATGACTCTGATTACATGGTCTCTTTATAACAAATGACTCCCAAAAAATGCAAACAAAAATACTATCAGTATTGTGATTAAATCCACTAATTACTGATGGGAATTCCAATGTATCTTACATATAGAAAATGAGTGATTTCACCCAGTGTTTCTGTCAGTTCTTTACCCTAAATGTTTTGACAAAAACAAAATTATTCACTCAATCTAATGCAATATGTGAACTCATTGGTAATAAATGATATAAAAATACACTGGTAATCTAAGAGTTGGACAATGGAAAAAGTTTTTTCATAAAAAGTGTAAGACTGGTAAATTTGTTTTTTTTTAGATTAAATATCAATACATACATGATGCTGACATATCAAAATATACAGTTGTTTTACACCTAGTACTTGTTATTTGAGCAAAACTTGAATAAAAGTTTGTTTGTTGTTAAGCTCAATGGACTATCTGTGCTCTGACCCTTGTCGATATCAAACCTGATTTTTAAGGTTATAAGCCCTCATACTTACCATCGAGTCACCAGGGGAGGGGGCAAAAGTCAAAGTACATTGAAGAATAACGAAAATAGCCGTAATTACAACAAAAAAGTTCTTTATATTATAAATAACTGATCAAGACCCAGTTGAGTGTGTAAAATGAATATGTAATAGAATTGCTTTTCTTTAATTTGACAATTAAAGCCACATGTTCATAATAAACAGCCAGTAAAACTTCGAATTAACAACTTTATTTATTAACCCTATATCCACAGGTGGGCTCATTGGATCAATGATATGTTGAAAAAATAGTGTATACTATAATTCTGAATTTATTATGTGTATCTTCAAAAAATTTGGCAAGCTTTTAATAAATGTGAAAAGTCTGTTAGAATTTTTAATAACACTAGATATATATATTCTGGCTTGCAAAAATCTATAATATAACTGTAATTAGTAGTACACTCAAAAGATCATATATGTGTTAAAAAAAAGAATTTAAAATAGGCAAATCAGAGCAAAGACATCTAACGATACAGAGAAGTGAGAACTTAGAATTTCTTTAAACATTTGCATTTGAAATTAAGAAAAACTTAGATAATAGAAAACTTTTAATTATACACTACATACTGGCATACATTGATTTTAAAGTTGTGTAATTAATTTTTGAATGTAACCCTGTAAAAAAATTGTGACATGCACTTTGATTCTACCATATGCATAGGTTTAATGAAATAATTAATTGTTCAGCATGAATATAAATTCTTACAATACAAAAAATCAGATTGTATCAAGAATAGGCAGCTGAAGTACTTGCCCCATCAATAATTTGGTTGCTAAGTTTTATTCTAAAGCTTTTTTTGAACGATTTTGTTACTGAATGACATTATTCCCTATCAATATTACCTGACAGTCAAGTATTACCACTGTGTAGATAAGTTTTAAGTCAAGTATTACCACTGTGTAGATAAGTTTTATGTCAAGTATTACCACTGTGTAGACAAGTTTTAAGTCAATTATTACCACTGTGCAGATAAGTTTTAAGTCAAGTATTACCACTGTGTAGATAAGTTTTAAGTCAAGTATTACCACTGTGTAGATAAGTTTTAAGTCAAGTATTACCACTGTGTAGATAAGTTTTAAGTTATAAGTACATAACAAAAATTGTTTCCTTACTTTGATGGATTTCCACTGGTTGTCAAAAATGCACCACTAGATGCTTGTAATTTTGTATCATACTGTACTTTACTTTTTTTGCCTTTTAAACTCCCACTTATATAACAAGTGATAAAAGATAGCAAGCATGTGTGGCAAAACATTTATTTTGGAAATGTAATACTCTTGTAAATTAATTTCACTTCTATTAATATTAATGAATAACTGTATTCAATTTTTAAAAAAATATACATTTTAAACTGATTACTTTGTGTTATATAAGCATAACTAAGTTATTGTAAAACACATCATTTAATGCACACGCTTAAAAAAAAGTGGTAAGAGACAAAGTTATTATTTTTTTTACTTTGGTGACATTTTATTATGGTTCCTTGCACTCCTGTGCATATGTTGATGCAACAACTGTTCCTAAACTATCTTGCACTTAAAACACTACGTGTTTTTACTTTACTCAAACACATTACTGACTTACATGACTTGGACAATTTGAGTTTAATTTCGTTTTTGTTTCCGAGTGTCTTCCTTGATAAACCAATTAACACTTTTATATTCACATGTAACCTAGTACCTTTAGCAATTTTTTCTTTAATTAACTGCTATATGAACATACACACATCTATGACAAGTGTAATTCATTTTGAAGGAATCACTAAAATAATAAACAAAACTAAAGCTGCAGTCTTTTGTAACTAATACCTTTCTTATATTGGTTTTGCAATATCTCTGCATACTCTCTAGTTGGTATGAAGTTCAAGAGAATGTGTATGTGTATATATATATATATATATATATATATATATATAAGATAGTGTGTGTGTGTGTGTAGTGTAGTATATATATATATATATATATATATAAGAGAATGTGTGTGTATGTATATATATATATATATATAACAGACAGTTTGGTCTCCTAAAGTTTGATGTTCAGAATCATGTAACAGACAATATAGAAACTTACAGAATTATATTCATTACAATCAGAAAAGTTTAATATTTTGAAGCAACAAATTTATAGTTTTGTATACTGTGTAGCAAATCACAAGCTTACCACAGCCCCTGTTGTTTGGGAGGCTAGCTCAGCAACAATGGCACTTAAAAGAGCACAAGTGTTTGACACCAGTTTTGGAGAATGATGAATAGGATCCTAAAAATAAATAATAATCCCATTGTTGAAGGTTGTAAAATATTATCAACATTAAAGAACAAAACATAATTACAAGTATCAATATAGCTATAGTATTTAAATAGATGTTTTAATATATATTTGTATACCAATGATATTTTGATATTCAACCTTAAAACAAATTTTGATATTATGTTTCAACTTCAATTTTAATATCAAAAAATTAAATTTACAATGACAGACTATGTCTACATTTCAAAAAATATTTTACATGTATTTATTTAAAAAACTTGAGGTCTTTATAACATTTACTACTTATTACAAATTCATAATACCTACTTGTCTTAATAATGTTCGAATGGGTTCAACAACAATGGATAAAAGTCGATCTAAAATATCCTTAAATGTGCATGGCCCCGAGTGACAACCTTCTTTCTGTGATGAAAAAAGCACACATAAATCTTACCTTTACTGAAAATTACTCAAAGCATTTTAGGCTAAGAAAGAGGATAAAGACTTATATTTTTATTTATAACTAAGGAAAACCAAAATTTGTATTGAATTATCTTTGTGGCTGTAGTCATAAAATATAAAAACACTTCAATGATTTAACACAAACTTAAAAACATTAATAATATATTTCATAACAAGATTAGATAAGATGTAGTTACTAAAGCTATCCAATTTTCTCTTTATGCCTCATCACAGATATAATCGAGAAACCTGCCACTTTTTTATTAATTTTTCCTTGGCAAAAGTAGCCACAAGAGTTAAGTTTGTTTGTGTATGGCAAAGTTACTAAGATTATATGCTGTCGACCCGAGGGAAGGAAACTGATTGGCAGCTCCCACTCCCAACTTGTAGGCTACTCTTTTACCAATGAACAGTTGGATTGACCATCACATTATAACATCCCCACAGCCAAAAGTGTGAGCATATTTAGCAACTGGTTCACAAGAGTTAATTAGTGTTTTCTCTAATAGACTGGCTTTATTAAATTGAAAATTTAACTGTAGTGGTTCATGACTTATTTACAAAAAAAGATGAATAACTGTAGTATACACAACATATGATACTTATACCAAAAAAACAGAACAACAAAACTAGTTTGAACAAACAATTAACTACAGAGAAATATGCACTAACATTTGTAAGTAATTGATACCCGAGAGTAATAATTAAAATATGACAATTTTTACTGCAGAAAGTATATATATCCACGTAAATTAGAAATTATTTTTTTCAAATCTCCAATTGTCTAAAAACAATATTCAGTTATCTGGTAATCTCAATTATCCAACTTTGTTTTGTTGAGTTAAAACTTTTATTAAAACACAGAAAAAAAGATGAATAAACAGTAGCTTCACTGGACAATGAAACATCATATAAAATACTACTTACTTCTGTTCTACTTGTCATACATTCAACCAGCACTGGAAATCTCTTTCCATCACCAGAGTCTACTACTATTTCTAGATCTGAGCCAGACAGCAAATCTCGAGTTGGCATTTCTGGATTTTCTTCAGATGGACTTTGAACTGTATGATCTATAACACTGTTGTGATCCAGTGTGATGGGTAAAGTTGAAGTTAGACGAACTGATGGACTACACAGAGAAGCAAGAACTGCTGCAAGGAGATGGTCTTTTTCTGGACTTTCTCCTTCCCAAGGCTATAAGTAATATTTTTTAATAGTTTAAACACAGTCAGAGCATTCTGAAATAATCTAAGAATTACCAAATATCACATGAAATATAAACTATAATAAAGTAGGGCTTTTGGTAAAAGGAAATGTAAAAATAGAAACACTTACAACATTAACTGTCAAAAGGAGGTCACAAAGTCCTCTCCACTTCAAACTGGGACTTGGGTAAAAAGCATGGTAGCAAGAGAGAAAAGTTAAATGGCATTCTTCCAGTATTGTGTGAACCATTCGTGCAAGAAGAGAGAGAGATGAGGAAGGCATTGGGTAGCCTGGCACAGTGCGATGAGATTGAAGAGTTCCAAATGGAATAGGATCAGACAGGATGTGTCTCAACAAGGCTCTGGTGTCACCTACACATTCTGCTAGTTTTGGAGACTCCACAGGAGTTTTAGAAGTTGCTGGTATAAATCATACATTTAATTAGTACAGCTTTTGCAATTAATAATGTTTAAAAAACATTATCTATTCAATACTGGGTAGACCTCTAATAAAAGTAAACACATTTTATGTCTAACCAAAAATCAACTTATAGTTTCAAAAATTCATAAGAAAAAAATTGTTTTAATCTTCAGTTTATGTAAAGACAAAAAAATTTAGTATTTTAGTTTATGTTAATTATTTCTTTGTCATATACATTTCTGCAAGTTTTATTTTTTCTACAGCAGAAATTTCAATTAGTAGGAAAATAATTTCAGTCATAAAGAGGAAATTCTCAGATTGCTTGAAACAACTCTTGGATAACCATAAAATGCATATGAACTTATAAAATACACTTTTTTTATTAAGATTTAAATATTTTTAATCAAGACTCAGATATTATGTTTATTGCTTTTGATATTTCAGGGAACTTCTTTCTTCATGCAGTTATAATTTTTTATTATTAGTATTTTAGTATTATTGATAAGCAGAGATAAACAACATACACAAGCAAAATTTGGAATAAACATGAGCAAATACAAAAGTAAATGAGAAAGAATAACTGGAAAAAGGACTATAAGAGATTTATCTAGCTTCAGGTGATTACAGCTAATCACAAGGTTAAAAAGTTTTTCCTGACAAGGAAGGTCTTAGATATTCTATCAACAGCTTAAAAAAGTAGCATTGGTAAATGACCAATAGAAGGGTGTGTAATGTAATTTTAAAACATAAAATCCAACTCACTTAAAGAGACACTTCACTCTTTGACTATGGTGCCTAGTGCATTGCACCCAGTACGTAATCAACAAAGTAGCCATGAGAGTAGTCATACTATAACTTTTGATAATGTAACCATATCTTCATGACATTTCCCAGATTATCAGTAAACATTACAATATCAGGTTTTTTAATTAAAGATTTGCTTGTGAATTTTTCTTTGGAAATGTTAACTATCCAACATGCAAAGTAATTTTGATTTTAAGATTAAAAATACTTTCATTCATCTGTATAATCTCTATCAACATCCTAAATAACTATCATACGTTTTTTTAGGAAAACTTTATATTTTATCTGTTATTTTTTTACCTTAACTCTATATAGGGTTGGTTGATTTAACTGACCTCGTAACC